TATGATAGTTGCTCGGTGTAGGGGAAATGGATTACGGGAGGGATGGCCTACCATGGTGGAAGGCCAGGGCGTCCCAGGAACACAGCGTGAGGATCACGCAATCATAAGGGCGACCACGCCTGCACCAACAACATCAATAGCCTCGATTTGACGCCATTTCTCCTTCGATTTTCTAGGAATCCGGTGCTATCAAGGGAAAGCATTCGGAGACAACTCGTCGATGCCGGTATATCTTGCCGACGTCCATTAAGACGCCTACCACTGAAACCCGTATAATAGGCAGTGTCGATTGGATTTTTGTCTAACTCAGTCAAGCCAGGCCGACTGGGGGGTGTGCGATCTTCAGCGATGAATCCCGAATCAGTATTAGTGCGGATGTCCAACGCACATGCATGTAGTGGCGGCCAGGCTATCGTTTCGATCTAGCATTTATTGGCGAGAGGCATGCGGCGATTACACAAAGCGTGACAGTATGGGAAGCGAGTTGTTGGACACACGATTACCTCTAGTTGTCCTTCAAGGCACTATGACGGCCTGTAGTTACAAGGACGACATTTTAATGCCGGTTGTACTGCCTACGCTACCAAGTCTCCCAGGTGAAATTTATAAGCAAAACAACCGTCGTCTACAGACTGAAGGGTTCTCCCAATAATGGTCTCAAAGATCTGATGTACTCCTGTTATCTGCCAGGTCACCAGACCTCTCGCCAACATAGCACGTTTGGTGCATGCCGGGAAGGCAACTACAGCTGTCCCGGAATATTAGTGAATTAATTGTCCAGTTATAAAGATTTTGGCATGATCTTCGGCAGGGGCGCATAGGTTACTTACTTGAATAAAACGATTTTGTCTGAATTTTAATCATTTATTTATCTCCTCATACACTACATACATATTAAGTTCGCTATAGTAATTCGTTTCCTTCTGTGTGCGTACATTTTTTATGACGTAGTGTATATCAGATGGATATATAATGATGTTTATTTATTTAAACATATATGCTTTATTTAGTTGTTAAAATAAAATTAAATTGAAGGGTATCCTCAACGGTGTTGGTTACGGGTACATACAAGCTGGCAACAGTCAAGTAGAAGGTTTAATGTTATGATGTTCATCATATACTACCGGCGGGAGTCAATGAGTTAAATTTAGATAGGTAATTAACCCGAATACAAGGAAAATGGTGCCTTTCAAGGCTGTAGGTCATAAACGTTTATAACCTGAGTCCTCAGTGGGGTCAAACCATAAGTTAGAATATAAGGTGATGCAGTAAAATTAAAGCCATATTGAAATTTGAAAGAAATCGTAACTCATTCAGTGCTCATAAAGGCTTTATTTTTTTCAAAGGTATAGAATTTCTTTTTAATGTTCCTGGGATAAATGCGATCACATCACATTCAGATAGTCCAAAATGTAGATAGCTAGCATATATTTTTTACAGTGCAAAAGTACAACTGAAATTGTATTGTATACTAAGAACTGGTTTTCGTTGAAGCAAAACCTAATAATGATTTAAATGTTATAAAAGTAAAACCACGCATAGAGCAGACCTGTAGATCTTTTCAACTGCAAAAGTGAAGAAAAATCGCATTGAATCAGTCAGTTCCGAAACCATTCATCTCCGTATTATTTTACAGTCTTCTGCTTTCCTTTTCTTTAGGCAATTTTATGGGTAAAAAAATTAAGGAAACCTTAAAAGTATTTAAAGTTTTATTGTTTATAACAAGTTCAGGAATAAAAATTACCACTCATTTCCCAAAGTAGTGAATATTTATTGCATATATTTGAAAAACAATATTCATATATATATATACAGAAAGAGAGAGCATGGAAATTTTAAAGAAGCTAAGTAGGTAAAGAGAAATAAAATTAAAAAAACACTCTTCTTTAAATATCGTCAAACTACTGTTTAAACATTATTAACCCAATTTCTTCTCATTTAAGAAGTTATAGGCATTCCTAAAAATTTTCAGAAAAATTTGTTATAGCATACTAGCTGGTCATATATAAAATTTTACATCTGTCCATTACGTTATCTGAATTTTCATACAACAACTGTCTTTGCGACAAAGATATTTAAAATTAATATCATTGTTTAAGATATAAAATAATTCTGCTGCGGAAAAGATGAAATTATTAGATATTTATAATTTCATTCCAAACTTTTTACGGAATATATCGCTTATTTGAAATCCGATATTGCTCTCTCAGTTAGCTTTAGACTTTTCGACGTAAGTCTAAGATTTTGAAATTGTGATAAATACCGAAACATGTTAGTTCTCGTTTGGCAATTGCAGATTATTTATTTCATTGACAAAAATAAATGAGAGCTTTTCTGCAATCATTTGCAATTTTGATCCGTTATACTACTTTCTGAATGGAATTCAGTTTCCATTGTTGTTTTACACAAACATTGATTTAAGCACCAGTATGTTTCCAGCATAAACACCAGTATGTTTCCGGATATCAAAAACTCTCAGACTGTTTCGACCTCTGGAAAGACTTCTATCTTCAGTTTGTCTTAGTTGTGCCAGGAACTTTTGCCTTTCTTAAGGCATTCTATTGTGGTTTAACAGAAATCATGCTCGGATAGCAGCTTAGAAGTCCAGAATTCGAATCCCAACGAAATATTGCTCATTTTTCGTGTTTGATGCTCTAATGAATATAACCACTCTGCATTTTTTGTTCAAACTAAAATTAATCACACAATAATTCATGCTATCTGGATTTGACTATTGGGTTCTTTCCGTCCCAGTTGTCCTTTAAGTGCAGAAGAATGCAAGGAACGTTAATCGTTCCTTATATTCTAAACGTCACATTCTTCTCCGCTTAAAATTTTCTCGTTCCTTACTGTGTGGTATAAATAGAAACAACAATCAGGAGGTCAGGAATTCGAATCTCGGGGAGGGCATCGCTTTCTTTTTATTCGGAAGAAAACTCGTAATTGTACAGGGGAACAAATAAATAGGCTATAGACATTGTTTTTACTTCTGAGGAATAATTTTAGCTTTCTTAGTAATGACTGTATAGTTAGCTGCATTTTGATTTTCTTTACATGTGAACTAAAAAATTGCCGCATTATCTCAGGTTCAGGTTGTAGTGCAGCGGACAAGCCATTGCTTGACCATTGGTAATGTGGGTATTGTCCAACTGCACAATCTCTTTACCACATTATCTCAGAAAATCATTTTTGTACTTCGAAATTTATTATGGTCTTTATTTCATTTTTACTGTCTAGTTCGAAGTAAAGGAAGTATTGTAATCACCAAAAATATCCGGTGTCATATTTCAACTAAATGCCGCTCACCAGGGTAAGTGGTTAGTAACACTGACTGAGCTAATGAAAGGCTGGGATTCGAATCCCGGAGAAAGCACGAATGCAAATTGTGTGTTCCCTCATAGGAATCAATGGTAGCCCACTTATTATGTGTCTCAATAATAACGTGACCAGCACTTCCGGCCTTAGTAGTGGCCAACTTCTCAATGGCTAATGCACACTATTGGAAATAAAAAAAAATATTTTAAGGAAAATATCCAGTTTGACCTCTTTCGACATAAGAGGACAGAATAAAAGACTTTATTTTTGTCAAAAATTATCCTAAAATGGATTCAGAAGGAATTTTTTTGTAACGTCTGTACTTACGTATATACCTATGTATGTTTCTCGCATAACGCAAAAGCGATTAGACTTTAACCGTTGAAATTTCGCTTATCATGTAATTTTGCACCGCCCTGTTTTTTGTTGCAATCGGCTGCATCAAATGTATATATATATATGTATATAAAATATATACACCTACTCCTTTATCCGGCTCGGTAAGTTCTGTTTTTCAGTTCTATACGCTATCTTATGTGCTTCAGTATTATGTCCCGATTAAAGTTTTTATTGCTTTAGTAAATATCCACACAATAGTTGTAGAATTATCAACAAATTGTAAGTTTCACTAAGCCTAACAAGCGGTTATTTGTTTACATTTGAAACTATTTGTAGTAAAGTGAATAAAGTTAGTTGGTGCACTAACTTCAGTTTATTTTTGCCCAGTGAGACTTAAATTTAAAGTTAAGTTTAAATTTTTTTGCACCGAAAGGTTTATCTTTCTGACGGTTAGGGTTGCATGGTTCCGTAGAAACCCTAATTTTAATTGCAAAAATCTTTTTAACTGCATTTGGTACTTCAGGTTTTTCGGTATTTTACAATTTTTACTGAAAATGTTTTGACATTTTACGTATTTTTGCCTTTCTCTGAAGTGAGAAATATATCTGTAATGAAATTTCAGAAAATCGATTTAAACAAAGTGAAGCAAAGAAAAAAAAATGTATAATTTAATAGGCCGTGCAGGGAAGTCATCTGATATCCACATCAGATTTTGTATCTTGAAAACGTAAAATTTCATTCTATACATATGTATATTAAGTTTAATTCAACAATGCAATATATGACTTCTTGCTGCGTAATCTTTACTTTAATCTTTACATTCAACATACTGTGAAAAGAATATTACACCACTTTTCCTCCTATAAAGAAGAATAAATGTGTATTTTTCTTTGCAAAGGGCAAAATTTATTAAGTTTTTATACATGTTTTAATATTCTTATAATATGCTTCATATACTTGATCTGAAATTGCTCATTCACAGATCACTACTTTATTAAATTTAAGAAGATTAATGATGCGCGTTTTTTGCTAATAGAAACACTAATTTAAAAAACTGCCGGAGGTTTACTCAAGAATATTAGAAATTCTGAAAGAAAAGGATTAATTTTATAATTACCGAAACAATGCTGCGTGACAGAAAGAGAAGATAAGGAGTTTATATTTCCCTTTGAACTCCTAACTATAGATAAGAGGAAGTGATATATGCTTAATTTAAAAATACGCATGGTGAATTAAAGCAAATTATTTGGTTGAAGGTTTATATTTTTTTATTTTTAAGCAAATGGATTCATTTTTGTTTTGTTTACAATTTAGTAGTGAAATTTTATTCTTTTACTATTTTTCAGCTATCTAAATCAGGTAGTCAGTCCGTCTACTTACGTCACGTAGATCTCAACAGTGCAGGAACATACCGTTGTGAAGTCTCGGCTGAAGCTCCAGAATTTCAGACAGTAGCAGCTGAAAAGAAAATGACAGTTTTTGGTAAGTGAATGCATTCTATAGTATATTTGTCTTATTGTTTGCATATAATCAGCTTTAATCCAAGTTTTTAGATTTGAGTATTGCAAACAATGTTTCTTATCTCCACGTTTCGGGCATTATATTTGGAGGGATTATCTATTGATCCAATAAAAAATATTTGTGTCATTAGATCAGAAAAATAAGGATGTCATCCTCTGTACTTAGGATTAATGTTGTATGACTATCATGTATACATCTTACCTTTATTAATATTGAAGAAACTTGATCTCTTCTTGTACTTGCTGAATATTAAAGCTTCGGCAAAATCAAAGAACTCAAAATATCATTCAAAGTGCATTTAAAATTGCGGCAAGTAAATTTAAATTTTGAATACATATTGTAGGGTTTATATTTACTTTAACTAACATTTATTTTAAGTTTAAACTATCTTTCCTGTCAATCCTTACTTTCCCCTGGAACTGCCAATGCTAGAATATGTAAATTTGAGTAGAACGCGCAAGCATTCAAATTATCAGCGGAGTAGTATGATTTAAATAGAAGGAAACGAGTTCGGTGAGAGAGTTATTCTTACTTCGCGAGCGCGGAGGTAGAAATCGAGAATTAAAGAACACCGCGTTGCGGCCTATTGCTTGGCGGGAAGTAGTTGCAATTGTTCCAGTGAGCTTCAAGTCTGCTGAATTAGCTGCGGTATTTGTAAAACGCGGTGAGTTAGTTATTTTAGAGAGCCTCGTAGTTAGAATCTTGTCTTTATTTTCTTTTCAGGTTATTATTTTATTTTGACTGTCTAGTTGGCAAAGTTTGTAAGCGTCAAGAGGACGCAATTGTAAATTAGTACGTTGAATAAAAAGGGACTTAGACCCTTTATAAGACTCTGTGGTTTATACAAGCTTTCACAGTCACCTCTTGGTTGCGTGCTAGTTAGAGGCGCGCAACGTTATATTGGCGCCCGAACACTTATCGAACTGAAATGGCCGAAAATTGGATGGAAGCCGCTGGACAACACCAAGAAATGACAACGCAGTTAGAAGGATTTGGATACCTGGTCCAGACTTTGAGAGCATCAATCAAGCCAAACGTCTATTTCGACGGAAAAAATTCGGTGGCGGTATTTCTCGAAGGTATAGAAAACCACTTTCAGCTCTACCCTGTGCCTGAAAGACAAAAAGTCGCCACCGCCACATCAGCACTAAGAGGACAGGCCGCGCTATGGTGGAAAAATATAGGCAAATTTCTTCTAGGTGAATTTGGAAGCCCGACGTATACTTTTGAAAATTTCAAAAAATCGTTAGTAAAGGCCTTCCCCATAGTGAAAGATCGCGCACGGCTGGAAGCCGAGCTATATAGTTTCTATCAACGGGATACAGCACAATTACGGACTTTATTTTACGAAAAATCAAGCTAACGGATATGCTGTATGGCAAGAAACCCGATGCGGAGATTATTGAAATAATATTACCAAGATTGTTACCCGCTGTCCAAGACTACTTTGAAATTAGAAACCCAAGAACATTGCAGGAACTCTTCGAATTGGCGGTGAAGTTTCAAAATCGCAGAATCGCGGAAAGAGCGAGAGGGGAAACATATTCTCAAAGTACCAGAAGGAAGGAGGAAACAAGAAATGGAAATCGCTCATATGGGGGAAAGAACTATCAAGCTAACGCATCGAAACTTGAAGGGCAAGGCCCAAAAAGAAAATTTGAAAATAAGCATCCGCGTACCCAGAAGACACAGATTGAAAGGAAAGCTTTAAACGACTAGAGGGGCCTGTGAAAGGGAGGGTCCAGACCCCGGAAGTTTTAGAAAAACCCTCAAATAGACATCTAAATACAGTCATCGTAAAAAAAACTCACAGCTACCAATTATACAAGTCCTGGTTGGCGATGTACCAGTAGAAGCCCTCATCGATACAGGGGCAGAAGGAAATTTCATGAGTGAAAAGTTCTTCAAAAAGAATTTTTTTAGGATACGACTCTTTAAAACCAGAAATACGGAAATTATAGCGGCGCAAGGAAAAACATGTCACTGCATCGGGAAAGTAGCATTAAACGTACAGGTAAAAGAGGAAAAATCTCAAAGTATTAATTTTTGTGGTGAAACACCTCCAACACTCTCTTATTTTAGGTATGGACTTTTTAAGGGCCGCGAGGGCCAAATTAAATTTTCAAGATAGTTCCGTGGTGCTGGAGATGGACCAGAGGGTGGTGGAACCGGTGGAGACACCTGAATTGGACCTTAGCCATTTGAATGACCAGGAAAGTAAAGCAATACAGCAAGTGGTGAGTAATTTTTCTCATTTGTTTTCAGAAAAACCGGGAAACTGTCAGATCGTGACTCACAAGATTCAATTAAATGCCGAAAAACCTTGTAGGACTAAACCTTACCGATATGACAAACAAAAAGACGTAATCATCGAAGAACATATTCAGGAGATGTTAAAGAATAAAATAATAACGCCCATAAATAGTGAATACGCGAGTCCAGTCGTACTATGTAGAAAAAAGAACGAGTTTCCTCCTTCGGATAAAAGGGCTTGGAGGTTTGCTATCGATTATAGAAAACTAAATAGCATAACTAAATTCCCAGTTTACCCTTTGCCGGTTATAGACGAGATCATTAGACAGATCAAATCGACGAGATATATGTCTACTTTGGACTTAACGTCTGGCTACTATCAAATAGCTATGAGACCCGAAGATATACATAAAACCGCGTTTATAACAAAATCGGGCACTTATGCATTTTTACGCATGCCTTTTGGGTTGTGTGGGGCCCCATCAACATTCCAGAGAGCTATGGACATTGTTCTAAAGCCTGTCCTAGGAAAATCAACTTTAATTTATCTAGATGATATAATTACGAGGGCTATCCAGAAAGTAGATTATGTTTTGGAATAAAAAAATAAACAAAGTATAGGAAACAAATTTTATTATATACAGATGAAAGCCACACTCAAATACTACTTTTCTACATAGTCACCATACAAATTAAGGCATTTATCGTAGCGATGTACGAGCTTGGAAATTCCTTCGTCGAAAAATTCGGCCGCCTGCGCCTTCAACCACTTCGTTACCTCTTCTTGTTTTTCGCTGATGATTTCGTGCAACAAACTTCGCGAAATTTGTGGAAAACTCAAAGAAAGTTCCGTTATTGTGAAATTTCGATTTTCACGGACTTAAGCATCGACTTTTTCGAGAAGTTCGGCGGTCACTATGCTGGGTCTCCCACTTCGATCTTCGTCGTGAACATTGGTTCAGCCATTTTGAAATCTTATGACCCACTGACGCACTCCACCTTCAGTGATAATGTTGTCCCCATACACTTCACGAAGCTGCCGATAGATTTCTATAGGTTTACAGTTTTTTGCAGTCAGAAACCTTATTACTGAGCGCACCTCGCAGCTCGCGGGATTTTCAATTAACGCAGACATTTCAAACCGTCACAGTATCTGAACGGAGCACAGCACGAACCTCTCACTAGCACGGCTAGATGCAGACTGAGCTGCGCAACGCTCTGACCCCAAGATGGCCGCGCTAGCCCCGCCCCTAGCGGACACAGACGGAAACGTAATCTACTTCCTGGATGGCCCTCGTATAACGAGTAGTACGTTGGAACAACATATTAGTGACCTCGAACAAGTTTTTAAATTATTAAAAGAGGCCGGTCTTACAATTAACGCCTCAAAATGTAAGTTCGCAACTAAAGAACTTAAATATCTCGGTTATAAAATTTCACAAAAGGGTATAGAAACGCAAGATTCAAAAATAAAAGCTATTAAGAATTTCCCACCGCCCAACACCGCCAAGAAACTTTCGTCTTTCCTTGGACTATGTTCTTACTATCGATCTTTCATAAAGATTTCGCTAATATTGTTGAACCACTCTTAGTAATCAAAAGAAAAAAGAGTAAATTTACGTGGACAGCGGAAGCGAACACAGCTTTTGAAAGATTAAAAGAAGCGCTTATTAATACCCCTGTTTTAAAAATTCCCTGAGGGGGACGAAAACCTGGAAATTGCGGCAGATGCATCAGACTATGCGGTGGGTGCGGTTCTTATGCAAAATAACCATCCGCTGGCATTTTTTAGTAAAAACATTGAATCAAACACAAAGGAATTATACAGCTACAGAAAGAGAAACATTAGCCGTATTAATGGCTGTACACACAAATTTCGAGTTTATTTCGGCAAATCGCCAGTAAACAGTCTTTTCGGATCATGCGGCTGTTGGTAGACTTTACTCGGGAAAAAAAACCTAACGCCCAGGTTAATAAGATGGGCTTTAAAACTCCAAGAATATAATATCACAATAAAATATAAACCGGGTAAGGAAAACAATGTAGCTGACGCACTTTCTCGTATAAAACTGGACGATGAAGATAATGAACTTAAATGCGCTGTGTTGACTTCAAAAATTTTAGATTCTAGAGATACGGTTATTACTGAACTGAAAGCTGATCCTGAATTTGGAAATATCTATGCTTATTTAAAAGACCCCGAAAGCTTTGAGCATACAGATATCGATGCGATAAGAAATAGAGCAAAAAACTATGAAATAATAGATAATTTATTATTCTATACGAAAACAACGAACGAAAGTCTTGAGTATAAGCCAGTCATCCCAGCCTCGCTTCGATTAAGCATTTTGAAGGAGTTGCACGAAAAAAAAACAGCGGGTCACCTCGGGGTCAGAAAGACTTTAAAAAGGGTACGCGAGGCGGTATATTTCCCGCAATTATACAAAATAGTAACGGCGTATGTCAGGTCCTGCAATCAATGTCAGTTAATAAATGATATTAATTACAGCCCGGCCGGGTACTTAAATAGCATTCGCGCTACATTTCCGAATGAAATTTTAGGCATAGATCTCCTTGGTCCCTTCCCCCAGAGCGAGTTAAATAAAAATCGTTTTCTTTTAGTAATAGTAGATCATTTTTCAAAATGGATAGAAATTGTTCCACTTAAACGCGCGTCAGCCAAAACAGTCGCAGATGCATTCTTACAC